AATAGAAGTCGTCGCCCTGAAGGCATAAGCCTGCCGTTGAACACCACAAAAAGCAGCTGCATAATAACAGGGTCTGATCTTCAAAGTGGTTGTGAACACTGTTGGTGCACTACAGAGACAAAACCCAATATTCATGGCCACCCTTAGGCTTGTTCCCAATTAGGGTGATGGACAAATCAAGGTCATGGCAACCAATATTGACAGCGAGATTGACCAAAATAAGGCAAATGGAACGTATTTTCACTAAATGGCTTTATTAGCTAGAAGATCACTTTTGGAATCAAATGATTGTTTCAGTTTTCAAATGTTTTGAGTTTGACCAAAGCTTTCTTGGGCCGAGAGGGTCCCTTCTAGGCTCATGACATTTTTGATCACTTGATACATCCGTGATTTTAGATTTTTGAGCTTTTCTGTGTATGAGCCATCACCATAAAGGATTTGTTTTAAGAAGTCAAAGACCAATGAAATTTGGCAAAGATCTTTGAAGGACAACTGTAAGACAACTGGCAAAGACTTTTGGGTGCATATCAAAATAGCTGAGTGTCCCTTTAAACAGTTGTACATGAGGACAACTGATCTGATTTACCAACCTTATGCCAAGCTCTGAAAAAAGACCCAAGTCATCTGTGATTATCTTATGAGTACTCCAGCATGGAAAGTACTGGAACATTTTGGTCTCTGTCCACAATGAAGCCAGTTTTGAATTGGACTCCAATGGTCCCTGCAGAAGAAGAGCTAGTGGGTGTGCAACAGAACTTCAAGCAATGCTGGGATTTATAGTTACACACAGATTAGCTAAATGCCAAGAAAAATGTTAAGGACAGGCATGGCAGCAATCACATAACTTGGTGTGATTAGAGAAGTCGAGATGAAGGCGTTCAAATTAAAGAAACTATATTTGTTGCCAAGCATGGTGCTAGTACCAGGATGGTTGTAACATGATGATACAAAAACAAGTCCAGGTAATGATAAGCTAATGGCGAGGGTTTTGACCACAACCGTACATCATCCACAGAAAATCTTACCTGTAGTCAGTTTCAGGCAATGAGCTGAACAGAAGACAAGCAGAGAGTGGAGGCAGAGATGCTCGGCTCGGTGGAGAAAGGTGTCAGCAGGTGAGGAGTGGAAATTAAAAGAATGTGGAATGGAATTGAGTGACTGCTGTGACAATGGTCTGTCAGTGGCGGCACCATGAGACGCTTAAAAGAGCATAGAACATTTAGAAGGGAATGGGGAGGATTGACTGCTGCTCACATGTAGAAACAAATTTAGTGGTAAAAAAAATTCCTCCCCGGTAAAGTGAATGCATGTCCAGCATTATCCATTTTATAACTTTACCCTGATAATTTTTTGATTAGAGCAAGGCAGATAGATGATTGATATGGAATTGATTTTCTATGATTAAATCATGTCATAGTAACGTGTGATTATGCAGAGAGCTAAATCATTCTGTTGCTCTTCTAATTAGGCCACAAGTTTCAAGTTTTTCTTTATAACAAATCTGAAAACTTTTACTATCCTCTGTGCTTGAAGTAAAATGTTGAGCTTGACTGTCCGTGACAAATGTGTTTGACTCTTGGGCTAAATAAGGAAATTGTTCAACAATTCTTCTTGGTTGTTAAAAACTCCCAGATATTTCATTAGAGTTATAAAAATGAAATAAATCTTAATTTCTTTTTGTTTTTAAGGGGGTATTATGTATTTTCCAGCCACATGGCGCCATTTTATAGCATAATCAAGTTGTAAAAATGCTGCGTACCTCAAACATGACTTCAAAAGGAGTGTAACTTTGAATGCAGCAGTTGCACAGGGGTAAAGCGATCTACGGTAGAAAATAGATGGTTAAGGGAATCCAAAGAGCACCAAAGGGTTGTTTATTCACATAATTTAGCCTCCGGATGTCTGCCTTCAGTGAACCGGATAGAAGTTGATTGGAAGCAGGAAGCACTGTTGTCAGAGGCAATCACAGATGTTACATTATGATGAAGTGTCTCCTCGGCCCTCCAGACCCACAGCTGTCTCATCTCACTTTGTTTCCTTCCATCCTTTCTGTTGCTGCTTCTTTTTTTTATTCATTTTTCCTTAGACTTTCTCATTTTCACATCAATGAAACCAGACTATTCATTAAAAAAGGACTTTGGTGCACTTTGGTGATAAAGTATGTGGGGTGACTGGATTGGTGGGTAAAGTAGTCCTCTTGGAATGGAAGGTCGTAGATTGGATTTCATCTTTCTCCTGTCACATGTCAATGTGCCCCTGGGCAAGGCACTTAACCCCAAGTTCCTACCGATCTGTGTATTGTCATACAACTGTAGTCAGTGATCACTGTGACCGAAAATGTGCTGCGTAAGTTCAGCCTGTTTACCATCATCATTTTACCCATTAGATTAACTTATCAGCAGGCGTCGGGTAGCTTAGAAAGTGGAAAAAAAAAAATCAGGAGTTTAGGCAAGGAAGGTGTGTTTACAAAAATAGCAGGAGGGAAAATTTTTGTTTACGCACTGTGAAGACGGAAGTTGTGCTCATGTCTTCTTCTGATATTCTTGTCCTTTGGTGGTTCCTGTTGCCATGCCACCACGGGCGAGGAGATGAACAGATTTTTCAGGTTTCGCTCGTTTGACAGTCCAATGTGAAAGTGACCCTCAACAGCTGAAAACGTAACAAGGGTTTCCAATTTTGGTCAATTGAACAGAGTCTCCCAGATTATGAGGTGTGAAACCACAGAAAGATTTAGGAACGGTTGAGTGTTTAAAGATTAATGACTTGACATGATTGCTCTGTAGTGTCCTTGGCAGAAGCAACCAGAGTTTGACTGGGTAACTGGTTCACTGATATTGTGTTGTGATAGAGAGTTCGTCCAATCACCTGATAAGAACCTCTGAAAAGTGTCAGAGGTTCTTTCACATTTATCAAAGACTTTCAGGATATTTCTGAATGACCTTGTTTCAGACTTTAGCTTAGAGACCATTATACAGATTTTCATTTTTACAATGAAAATCTGCATTGCCCACTGACTTAACCATCCACTGTATTCTCTAAATACAGGGCAGCCATCTGTTTTTGGATTTTAAATATTACTTCAGTGCCATTGTATCTAATAATTATGCTGTAAATATATCTGTAAATGGCATAAATAAATACCAAGATGGACAGCAAGGTATGCCTTAATCCACTGTGATGGACAGCATTATTTAGCAGATTAGGAAGTCTCCGGGGTATCTCGGTGTTAAAGTGTCCACTGGGAGGAGTGTCCAGCACTGACTCAGAACTTGCTTGAGGTACAATATGTTCCTTTTATCCTCAGATCACCTTGGGATCTCCCAGATAGAGCTGGAGAGATTCACTGGGGACATTGATTTCCATGGTTTTCACATGTTAAACAAATGAATTTGTCTAAATAAATAGTTTTGTTCACTATTCAATCTAACCCAAGGCAGTGGATTAGGATAAAATTTAAATTTTCATGTGCGACCCTTCTACAGTTTGTGCCCATGCCTACCACCCCTAATAAAAATAATCTAGGCACACCCCTTGAGTATGGTTGGTCTCACAAGAACTCACAACTTCTCACAATCCCACTCTTGTGTGCTATGGTACACCTACTCCTACTGTAACCGCAGAGCTTGCTACTCTGGGCACAGCTTACAGGACTAATTAAATGCCATCGAGGGTGCAGCTGCAGCTCTCAGCACCACATGTGGTTGAATAGTCCATGTTTCTCATTTTCTATTAATTTGGTGAGGGAGCTGAAAAAAAGAACATCAGAGTTGCTGCAAATGAAGACACAAACTGCTGGGAAGTTTCTTAAGCCGCATAATGTGTAAGAAGTGCAAGAAGCCGATCTATTAAAGCAAGAGCAAATCCGCCCAATCGATCGAGATTTCATTCAACCTCCATTCCCGCTCAGTCCTCGCAGGAAAGATGAAGGGCTGTATAAGGATGACTGTGGGCCTACAGTCCCCCCCACTTTCGCGTCAGCGTCGTGACCCTCATGTTACGTAAGGCTCTCAGCGACTGACCAGCCCACACCTGTCCTCAAGCCCAGACAACCTGTAATCAGTGTGGAGAGGTGCCGTGACAGCGGGAAATGCAAAACAGCCAGTAGATCTGTCTTCACGGGTCACGCAAACACATTCCCGAGCTTCTCGAGCACACCGACGCGCTCACAGATACATCGCTCACCGTGACCTTTTCGCTTTCGGTTTGAATGAAGAGCGCTCAAAGCCTGTGTGACAAGCATAACGAATGAGATAACCAGGGCGACGGTGGAGGGACGATGCACAGGGTGGTCAGAACACAGAAGAGACTGAAGAGAAGCAGTGGCCATGTTTCAGTGGTCACAACTGCAACAATCCATCATAAGAACAGCTTTAATCTCCAAAATCGGGGGTCGTCTAAGTGGGAGCTCGTGGTGAAAGAACAAGCAAAACTGGATAAACTGAACTTAATTTAAATTGCAAACATGTATTGAGGAAATAAAGTCACAAATGGATGTCATATGAACAAAATTATATCAGTGACACAAACCATCACACTAGTCTGATGGAGCGATTGTAGCACTTTGTTTGCTCCCGTCTTGCACAGGATTCCTAACAAACCTGACAGTGCTTTTCACCTCTGCAGTGCTTGGATAAATACTTTTTTTTTTCTACAACAATTGACTCTCTGGAATACATAAGTAGTTCAACAAACATGTTTCAGAGCTGCCTCTGCAGATTCACCAGGGCTGGAGACCTGAATGTAGGCAGCAAAGAAAACAGAAGGAAACGACGCACCGTGGAAATCCTCACTGTGTTCAGTGAGATGACAAGCCTGTGATTTCCTTTTACTTTTCTTTCATTCTTCTGTTCCGTATATTGTGCTACCTGTCATATTGAGTCATTTGCTGCTTTATTTATCCGTTTTCTAAGGTTTACCTTTTTTCCTCCTCCTCTTTCCTACAGTGTGGGATGCAAAGTGATGAAAATCAATCGTCTGTCATTTCTTTTCTGCCTCTGCAGAGGGCCTGGCTGTTGGGGTCGGTTTCGGAGCCATAGGAAAAACAACTTCTGCTACCTTCGAGAGTGCCAGGTAAGATGACTATCAAGGTTTTTAATTGGTGAAAAACTCGGTCCTTAATTTGGGTATTTGGTTCAAACATATTATGTTAAAAGATTTTAACATAATATGCAAAAAAACATTCATTTACGGTTAAATATGTTTTAATGTTAACCTTTTAAAATTTGTTAGTATGAATAAGTTTCAAATAAACGTGTTTTATGTTACCACTAGATGCCTGCTGTTGCCATCTAGTGGTTACATCGTGGAATTACCTGCTTAATCTGCTCCTCAGCAGAGCTTTTTTATTGCAGATACGCCTGCAGCATAAATAAAAAATTAGTTCGTCATCTTGGGGCGGCAACCAGCTGGTTCTTGGCCTTCCACTGACCAGAAAATCTGATTACATAATTCTGCTGTTTTATGCTAACTTTGGAGAAAAAAAAATCTGTCCTGTTTTATTAAATATTGTATAATTTCACTGTTGAGCAGGCAAACAAAATCAGATCAGAATTTTGTATTTTGAAGTTCTTTTCATTTGACCATTTTTGCCAACAAGTTTAGCAACCATTTGGTCTCGGAAGACATCGAATTGGTTCACATGTTAGTTGTACGTCATTTATTGTCAGTATAAATGCAGCTGTTCTACAAAGACTCAAGAGGTTTGTGAGAGAAACATCCATCAAAAGCCATCAGTTGGTTATGGATGCAGTAACAGACCAATAATCCATCTCCAGGACTGATAGATGTGGTTGGTTTCTGTAAATCTTATCAGTCCTTTTCCAATCTGGAGATATTTTTTTTTAATCAACATTTATTTGATTATCGATGGTTTGCTCTCCTTCAGGAATCTGGCTATCGGGATCGGCATCCAGAATTTCCCAGAAGGCTTGGCGGTGAGCCTGCCTCTGAGGGGCTCCGGGGTCTCGAAGTGGACGGCCTTCTGGTAGGCAAACCTCCTCATCGCAGCGCTCTGTAAAGGTTCTGGCCTCCAGCACATCACTTTGTCCACCAGGTACGGTCAGCTCAGTGGAATGGTGGAGCCCATCGCCGGCCTGCTGGGCGCCTTCGCTGTCGTACTCGCAGAACCGCTGCTGCCGTACGCGTTGGCCTTTGCCGCTGGAGCGATGGTCTACGTCGTCATGGATGACATCATTCCCGAGGCTCAAGTCAGGTCAGTGGGAAGATATGGCTAACGTTTGGACAGAAGGCTGGAGTGCTAACGTACAGGACCGTTGCAGATTTAAAAAAAAAAAAGACGAGAATACATTTCCGCAGAAGAACTCTCGGTGGGCAAGAAAAAAAACCCACAGAAGTTATGAGATTTCTGAGCACCAAGTTAGAAATTTGCTACAAAAAAAAACTGAAATTTTGAGATAAATCTCAGAAACTTTGTCAGAATATCAATATCTCCAAACTTCAAAAATTTGCAAGGAAAAGAAAATCTCAGAAATTTCCTAGGAAAACATGGAAATTTCTCAGAAAATCTCCAAAAGTCAAAATTTTTGATTTTTGGAATTCATAAATTTCCTTGTTTTTTTTTCTCTCGAAGATTTTTTCTGACATTAATCCTTTTTTATGAGTCATTTACCCATCTGACCTCTGCTGTTATCTCTCGTTTATTGGTGTTGCCAGCGGTAACGGCAGACTGGCTTCATGGACCTCCATTCTGGGATTTGTGGTGATGATGTCACTGGACGTGGGGCTGGGCTGAGGACGCCACGGCGACCGAAAATAAATAAACCACGGCTCAGAGAAGCACAGCTGACCTCAGTTTTAAAGAAGGGAACCAGTTGCTGAGTCGAATTACCGCTACTTGAAGTTGAACTGTGAGCAAAACTTTTCCATGCAATGATTGCTGTACTTGAACTGACATGTTTTCTATGAGATTCTTATCATTGAATGAGACAGGAAGGTTTCGTGATTCATGTGCTGGTGAAGGTTTTGTTTGCTGGTGTTTTTTCAGAAAAAAAATATTTAATATGACAGCTTATAAACTGTCTTTTTGTCTTTTTTTGCAGCTGAACATGGCATTATGAGATTTAATAAGGTTACATCATACTAGTAACTTAAATGTACTGAATCTGGTGTTTCTTCCATTCTTTATATATTATAATTTACATTTGCCTTTGGCACAATAAATTGGCTCAGGTGGTTTTGCTGGGGCTTTTTGCAGGGCTGTGTAAGTCTCCTGCCACCTACTGGTCGATCAGGGGAATCACACCTGCTTATCTTCGGAATTTTTTAACAGGATTTGTTTTAATCTCAGGTGGTAAAAACTAAAAAATATATTTTTAATGTAAGAGTAGTGCTACTTGGGCATATTTTTACCCTTGTAGAAGTAAAACTAGTCAACAAATATAATTGAATTAAGAAATATTTAGTAAAAAAAGAAAAAAGGGTTACTCAAAGTAATCATAAGGTTGTAACATTTGATGAAAATGGTGTAATCAGACAAAATGCATAATAAAAGAGCTAATTCTAGTTTTTTTAAAACAACAAAAAAAAATGTGTCATGAGCCAAAGTGGGAAGGGAAGCATTACTTCAAAATACAATCGGCAATAAAATTTCTATTTTGGATTAAGTTTAAACAAATCTGGACTACTGTTTGTTTTTTGTTGACATGGTTGAAGGATCCTCTGAGTTTATTTAGAAGCCTTCATTCAACTTCTTAAATATTAAAAATATGCTGACAACTGTTTTGTACTTTATTTTATTGGGGATTAATATGTAGCAGCAGGAGATATTCACTGAAAATCTATCAAAACAAAAAGCTTCCAGGTGAAACCATTTTGATTGTGACTCCATAATTACTGGTGCTTTTACTTTTAAAGAAAATTCGCCTTTAAGAAAACTTTGAATATATTGAACATTTTCTGTATTTCTTCTCTGACTGACCTGTAGATGTACTAATAGAGATGGTTACTATTGCTTCTGAATATGAAATGCATCATTTGTGGCAACATGGTTCAGTAAATGCGTTCCTCAATCAAGACTGACTGCATGTTTTGATTTAGGAACGTATGCAGTAAAATCACAGATTTAACAATATTAAACCTGTGAAGGTATGTCACTGTACAAGAGGATGAGTTCATTTTATGCTTACTACATATATTTTTACGCAGCAGATCTCATCTTTGATTTTTCTTCTTTTAAATGCAACTTCATCTATTGCCATCTAGTGGCCACCTTCAGGAGTTGCAAATGTAAAAAGCACAAAGTGACCCAGTGATTTTATTTGTTGGTCATTTTTAGAGAGTTTGTTTACAGGGACGGATTAGGGCCACTAAAAGCAAAAAGCCAGTAGTTTGAAGTTTATTGTCACAATGCTGACATAATGCATATGGACACCTGGGAGCTACCAGCTTCAATTACTTTTATTTGTTTTTTGTTGACATGGTTGAAGGATGCTTTCTATGAGACTTTGAGCAACAGTCCAGTCGGTTTCCTCCATCGCCAGGTGAGAAGCTTCTGCTGGCTCTGGAGTGATGCGACGTTTGTAGTCCATGTGCAAAGTGTTTCTTGATGCGTTGACTCAAGACTCAGTCCACTCCCTGCGAGTGAATTTTCCAATTCTACATGAGCTTCTTTTTGGAATAAATTTCTGACATAAATAATCTCTCCAATCGTATTCTCGTTTATTGAGATACACCTGTACAAAACCCGAGTCACCAACGTCTAAGCAGCCACATCTTTAAGAAATAGAAAAAAAGATTTAACCTTCCAACTGAACACTCTGAACAGAGCAGCCCATGAAGAGACGGAAGCGGTTTTAAAATGCGTTATACAAAGACCTGCTGCTGAACTGAAATGAAGACATGATAAAATAACGCACACTTTTTTTTTTCTTTTTTTTTTACTGAAAATGGACAGGGACTGTTTTATGCTGCAGGAAGTGCTTCAGACTGGTCGGCATGTCCAGCTCGTCGATGCAGTGGATCTTGTTGATGCCTTTCAGGTGTCTTCGCACAGCGAGTCGGCACTGTGAGATCAAGGCTTTGGGATTTCCTGAAGATGGAAAAAGAAGAAAGGGGGGAAAAACAAGTGTTTTATTAAAGGAATCTTACATCAGAGATGCGTCTCACTATCTGACAATGCGTTGAAGAGTTACGGAGGCAAAGCGAGTCCTGCTGGGATCAGGCATCGGAGTGTCGTCGATTTCTGATCACTTTGATTGGAGAAATGTTCCCTGATTTTAAAACGACGCTTGCAATTCCACTGAAGCCAATCTGTCCTTGTGGCAGTAGACGGATCACAAATGTTTGGTTACGCACAAGGGAGCGTGCAATTCAGTGCAGCTGAGAGACTGCTGCGTTCAGGCCACAGCAGGTGAATTTCTTCATAATATAAGTGCAATTGTTTAAACATGCTGTTCTTATATATATAAATACTAGTTTTACTGGAGCCAATTGAATGTTATTTCAAAAATTGAGGGGTAAAAAAGACTAGTGGGATTTTTTTTTTACTTCAAACTGACTATCCAAAAACTCTTAATTAGCTATTTTTAATAACTGATGCATTACTAAAATGCTATGCATAACTGGTATATTTTTATGTCTTCAAATGTACATTTGTATTTTATAAATAAATATTGGTCTCTTGTACATTTCTAAAAGAGACAAATGCTTTTTTACATTTGTTTGTTATTCCTGTTTCCAAATATTTTTTGACTTTGTGTGAAGCTACGTCCTCCAGCATATCTTTGACTTGCTGCTGCTACACCTGAATTTCCCTACTATAAGACAATAAAAATGATTCTATTCTACATGCAATTTATGGGACTTTTCCTTCTACTTCTGCATTGATCTGTCGGGTAAAATACCAATAATCTACATTCAACATGTCAGGCTGTGATAAAATGATGAGGGGATATGACTACTTTGACTGTAACTTGGTTATACTGAGCGGGTTTTGCATACCTCTCTCACTCAGGAGCAGCTCCACTGCTTCGTTCTGCTTCGTGGACTTCTCGATGATCAGCGTAGGGAGATAGACATTCGCGCCGAAGTCGATCAGCAGCTGGATGTACTCCACGCCGCAGCCGTACCTGAGGCACATCTCCAGCACCGTTCTGGGCGGCTTGGCGAGACTGTGGAAGGTCGCGTCCGTGCAGTTGTAATCGGGGTCGGCGCCGTGGAGGAGCAGCAGCCTAAAGCACTCCATGTGTCCGTAAACCGCAGACAGGTAGAGCGGCCCGCTGGTCACCCTGACGTACGAGGGCCACACCAGAACCTTAGAACGAGAGTTGGCATCGGCGCCATGAACCAGCAGCTGCCTGAGGATCTCCACGTCGCCCTCCCTGGCAGCGGTGAGGACCGGGGAGCTGTTGTTGGACCTGCTTCCGTTGGGGTTGGCGCCAGCTCCGAGGAGGGCGAGGACACAGTCCAGGTATCTTCCGCGAACTGCGTTGAAAAGAGGCGTTTGGGCTTTGACGTCTACAGTGTCTACAAAAGCGCCGTGGGCCAGCAGAACCTGCAGGCAGCTGAGGTGTCCTTTAGACACGGCGGCATGGAGAGGAGTGCCTGCGATGCCCCAGCCCCCTCTGCAGTTGATGACTTTCTTGTAAATCTCCTGGCAGAGCATATTGTCGAGGAGTATGTCATTGTTTTGTAACACCGCCTGCCTGAGATTGGAGATTTCCTTGCTGTATTCTTCTTCCTCAGAGGTCCTCAGCTGGTACATAGAACCTGGTGAAAAGATGCTAAAGTCAGAGAACCACAGAACTTCCACCTTGGAAGGACAAGGGCTGACTTTAAGGCACAGCGGATGGTAAGGCTGTCAAGACACCTTCACTGCAACAAAGAGTGGCATCTTTTAGCTGTCACCAAGTTTCCATAGCAACCATTTTGAGAGAAAACATCTTAAATTAGCCTATGCTTGGCATAGAGCAAGATAATCTGAACCCTGGGCTATAAGAGAAATGATTGCTTGCCAGAGTCATGTACTCTGTTGAAGTTTGAACTGACCGGATCTGATTTTACCCAACCGCTCACGTCTGACCGTGACATATGTGATGCATCAGCTGCACTGTGATGCTAAGCAAAAAATGAGCCCGTTGTAAGCAATCATCCCCGACTGCGAAGAGAAAAGTGTTGATCCGAACAACATCTTTGTCAGTAGTAAAATGTCTTGAGCCTCTTGCTCGGTATTTGGAAATGTGGCCATGTACGGCATTGTTCACTTCCTCCGCCACCATTGCATATAGACAAACTACAATTGTAAAACATCAAAATAAATCGTTGTCACAACTCCTTCTGTTTTCTGATTGGCCCCTTTAAAATTATGAGCAAAGCAGCCAATCCAGAAACACCATTAACTTGACTTTGTGCTGATTGGCCGTACGCCTAAAAACGGATAAGGAAGATTGTTGTAAAACCAACATGGTTTCCATTGTCCTTATTAATGAATATTAAGGTGTACTATCTGTTTGAACAATAAAAAATACAGCTCTCAGGGTTCATGTTACATTACAGCAACAAACTCCAGTATTTTCTATTAGAATGAGATGTAAGCAGCAAATTAATGCTGTGGGAAAGAGAAGCTGGATGGAACTACTTCAAGGACCGTCCTGGAAGAAAACCTGAGAGATGCAAATGACTGAGCCAGATGTTGGCTCCAAAGAAAAGCACGCCACACTTTACAGATTTTTTAACATCAAAATGTGTTCATTTTGCTTCATAATGATACACTTCTTGGTACTCAGTGAAATACAAGACAGCTGAAGGTTTCAACGTGACAAAACAGCGAAAACCTTGCAGAGTCTTGTCTGAGCAAAACTCCGGCGAAAATCTTTCTCGCTTTCTGTGCAACACCAGAAACGCTTGTGTGCGTTAAAGCTGAACATCGGCCAATGTTTCCATATTGATCTCAAAGATCTTCCAAATAATTCGGCGTGAGAAAAACAGCACACAGTTGAGTGCAAGCATTTATTTCTGGATTGTTGTTTTCGTCGTTCGTGAGCTTCGCCGACGGGAATGTTGCAAGTTACGGAACATTCGGTCCGGTTCTGGTGAACTACATGTCAGCCGAACCGTATCCCATTATTTCAAATCCTCAATAATCAAATCGAAACCTCTGAAACGTCACTGAGAGTCACGCGCTGCTCTGTACCGTCAAATATCCGTGGATTGTCTCAAACACGCCGCCAGCAAAAACGGCGCAATAACACATGGACTTCAATGTAGAAAGACGCAGAACCCTTAAACTGCTTCACACCACGAGTCTGTGTATTTATCTTCATACTACCTTTGCTGTGTCACAATGTTTCCCCCCTTCTTCTTCATCATCATCGCTCCGCTTCCTTGTTGTGCTCCTGCTCGGTGTCTTTGCTGCCCCCTGGTGTTCAGTGGAAGCATGTTTTCCTATTGGTTGCCAATATTGAAACCATATATTTTAGTCAGGGAATTAGGTTTAACCTGCAGAATAGTGCGGTTTCTTTGATCTTAGGCTTCCCTTCATTATGACCTCGGTATGTTGGAAACAATCAACTCACTGACACAATTTAAACATGTACAGGGGCGCCAGAGGATAGTTCCCTTCCCTTTTATACTTGAACTTTATTCAAACATAGCCAGCAATCTTGTTTCATGCTAAAGTATTCAGACCTTGTTCACTTGGTGTGTTCTGTCAGGCTTTAAGTTCTGATGAAATACACTAATACCTGCTCAACAAAAGGTATTAACAGGTGTGAGACTGTCTTAAATCTGAATGTAGGGAAGACTAAGTTTCAGTTTTTTGGGTACCTATTGCCCTACAATCACTCATGAGCAAGACAGAAAGAAAACTCCTCCACTGGGAACCTTATTCTCCGATCTACCATTTTCTAATTAAGAGCCATTGCTTCAGACTAAGAAATACTGCAATAACAGCAGAAAGTTAAGCTGTCTTGCAGATGTTTCAATCTAAGCCCCTACACCTTAACCTTTCAATTGAGGTGTCTTATACCTTAATTTCTTTGGCTAATGTTAGCCTGTCTTACTGCATGTGAAAAAAAAATTGTCCAGAGGGACTGTCAGCAATAGAAGGAACATAAAATGTGTCTTTAGTGTTTGGACTTCATGCACCATAAATAAAGAACACATGTGGGATTCATAGACTTTGGATTGTGTCATTCAGGTCATGATTAATACAAAGGTGAGTTTAAACAACTTTTTTCAATTGAAGAACGCCATCATGTACCAAGAGTTCTAAATTTATAATGCATATTAATAGCAGTGCAGACGAGGTTATGAACAGACCTTGATACTGTAGTACATTTGCTGTTGTGTTTCTGTGTTTCAAAGTAGCATTCAATTTCTTTGATTGATTTCTTGATTTTGGAGTCGAATGCTCCAAAAAACAGGAAGTATTGGAGCAGCAAACGCCAACATTGGTGGACAGGAGGGGTACTGATCTCAGGGAGGTGGAGGAGGACGCAGTGTCCTCTACAGCACCACTTCATCTGTGGAAAAAAAAAATCAAGAAACTGTCAAGTTTACAGCTTAACACCATATCCTTTTACAGACAATTAACCCTACAGTACCCTCAGGTGCCCTGCAGCCCTTCCCTCAGATTATACTTTCTTCTCAGGTACTCAGCAGGCGTTACTAATCCGGTCTTTTCATGTCAGGTCGCAGCAGCTTCTTAATCCGTTCAGCTGCTGTTCAAATTCGCCACAGTTCAACACTTCGACCTACTGCCAAGACACCCAACTCTCTTCTCTTCACCACCTGGTGCCAGATAATCCTAGACTCAGAACTAAAACCGCTTGATGAAAGAAACGCGTTCAGAGCAGCAACAAGTTGCATTGAATGTATTTCAAAATGTTCTGATAGTCGTCCTGCAACTGATTGCTCTACCAGAGCAGTTAATCGCTTCTGTCTACCTGACCCCCAGTGAGTTTAGGTAGATTTAAACTGTATATATCAGTATATTTTGATGATATCAAAATACTTTAATACTGAACTGGGTCAAAGAAAAGTCATTATTATTTTTTTCTGTTTCTCATAAGTTGAAAAACTATCAGGCGTCGAGTCAGAATTAGAGCCAATAATTGCCAGAGTCCCAAATATTTTGTGCATAATTAAGAATTAAAGATTTTTATCTTTGTAAATTTTCTTTGTAACTTACAAAGATAATTTACACGTCAAAACATCAACTTGACATGTTTTGAGTAAACTCTGAAACATGTGGAACTCCCTTCCTCCCTTTTTAAAAAATTAATTTCTTAATCCTTACATGACATTAAACTGCATTTCAGCAGCATGAGGACATGTTCATGAAATAATAACATGCAAATGCCCATAAAGACCCACATGCCAGGACATCTCTGCTTCAAAGTTAGATGATGCTGCACCCACGTAAAAAGTTATTAACCTTTGTGTAAATATGTACGTTTTTGCTTAAATTATGAATTTCAAAAGCATTTCTCCTGCATTATGCATCTCCAGGAGGTACTCCAGTGACTCTGGGACGTGTTCCTAGTAGGGCTGAAGACTAAATGCATCCCAGCATTCCCCGGTGAGAGAGTTGGCCAGACTGACCCCCTCCTCAGAGGGAGCCATCGTTCCGTCTCCGCTCTGAGTAATTGGACTTCTCTCTCTAGTTTATTGTCCTGATTGCTCACTTTGCTAAAGAAATATGTGCTTTTCATAAAAATTTCTCCTAAAAAAAAAAAAAAAACTTTATTGAAGTGGCAGAAATACCTACCTATTTATTACCGGATCAACAGCGGGCAAGTTTGTGCAGCGGGTAGTGCTGTCAGTGTTTGAGGCAGACGATGGAGCAGTGAATGTTTTCGGTCACTAGAGGGCAGTATGGTGCTTGCAGTACCTTGCCATGTTGGAGGCCTGCAGCACAATTTAGTGTATTAATGTGAAGTAGAAAGGAAATGACAAATGGTCTTTCTTGTAGGTTCGGAATAAAAATCTGAAAAGTTTGGGGGATATTTGCTTATATTTGGTTTGACCAGAACCTTTGACCTATGTGTAAAATACATGTGGTGAAAATCTGTCACTGTACATCACTCTAAAACTTGTTTCTGCTCCTGTTCTACTTCCTGCATGGGTACAACAAAGAAATGTGTCCAGACTGAGCAGGGATTGGTCGGCTGGTTGTGGTGGCATGGTGGGGGGGGCGGAGCTTTGGTTGTGGCTCAACCGGTCTGCCACACACAAACATGTCATTGGAATTTCTGTAGCTGAAAGATTTCTTGATTGTCATGCGACCAAACATCCAACTTGTAGGGCTGTAATTCTGAGTAGTTCCTTTCAGTTTATGAGTTTATGTGGTGGAAAAATTACAAATTACCTGAGCTGTTTGGGTTACATGTACAAGGTTGTTTCCCACAGCTGCATGGGAACCACGACTGTTTTCCTTGCTTTGGATCCCTTATCCTTGCATAAAACTCATGTGTTGTCTCTGCCTGGCAGAGCCTTGCATCCAGACTTGCGTCATTATTGATTGTCTTAGGAGCTCTCTGAGTTGTGCACAATTCATGAATAAACCTGACTGAGTGATTTTCCCTGAACAGTGTTTGGAAATGTATTTATTTTTTCCACGACAATTTAAAAAAATGTCCTCGTTTGTGTTTAGAGACACTAACGCTGGGTCCAGATCAAATATGATGCAACCAGTAGCTGACCTGCTCTAGTGGCAGAGTTTACGTTGAAAGCTGAAAGACTTGTTTTGCGTTTGTTTGGGTAGGATAAATAGTAATGATTGTATGAGGAAGTTGCACAGGAAATCATAAAATCTGAACACCCAACAGGAGAAACAACTGCTTCTCTCCTCCCACAATGGTTCAGAGAAAAGTAACAATTCAGCCACTCATGCATAGTAAGTCACAGGTGCCCTGGCAGACCTGACCGAGGAGGAGAGGTATACCTCAGTGGGGTGAGTACCACCTGGAACATTCCCATTTCTGTCTCTGAGCTTCGACAGGTGAGGTTTCCTCTTGGATTTTTCTGTTTTCAGGAGATTAGGAGTCAGATTTTTGTCGTCTGATCTAAAAGAGGAAAAACCATGAGCTACGCTGATTGGATGTCGCAACTGCCAACTGAGCTTCACACCGTCCCTCTGTTCAAACTGGTCATACCAGGTGGGATAATCCGGTTCTGTCAAGGAGGCAGGAACGTAGTCATGATGAAAGAACGTAGGCTTGTTTTCTATATCAGAATCTAAGCTGATCCTAGTCCAACTTCTTCTAATCGACACAATTTAATGGGTGTAATTACACTCATGTCTGTCGCTGTTGCATGCATTTGAGGGATGGAGTCAGGCTTGGCACACCAATCAGTTCAAGATCTACAGAAAACAAAGTTTGTTTTCTGGAGATCTCAAGAAAGTTATTGGAAAATTAACTTCTCATTGGTATTCTGTGATTTGTTGTTTGTTTTGTTTTTTTCATTATTATTTTTTATACATGAAATAGAACTAGAAATATTCAGTGAGTTTTTCCTCCGAAGCAGACTTTATCAAAACCATTCATCAAACCTGGCTAAGCCTGAAGACTGAGTGACCAATATCTGATGCTTGTTGCTGGGCGCCGACTTGAGTTTATACAAACGCCTCCGCTTAAAACGTTGTCTACTTTTGTAACACAAATGTCCAAAATTGTGATTTTTATGGTTTGGGTCAACATTAATTTGCAAGTCCCTTTTTAGGAACAACCAAACTAATATCATAAAAATAAGGCAACCTTCAACATGATCAATATGTTCAATACACTGAACATATGTTCAGTACTAAATATTTATTCGTCAATATTGAATATTCAATGGTCAATATTCAATTGAATACAAAATATTCAAACCCTCAAAATTGTTTTATTGAAATGAAACAAAAATGCAAAACTCATTGCATCTTTTAATCTGGCGGAGGTGTACCCTGAAGAACTTGCTGCTGTGATTGCAACTATAAATGGTTCTACAAACTGAGTCAGAGGACATGAATGCAAAAGCTATCACACTTTTTAGATTTGCATTTGAAGGAAATCCTAAACCATTCATTTAAGAAGTCACTGAACTTCATAAAGTCTCAATAAATCCTTTGGAGTCAGCGCAATGGGTGTTTCCGATGAAAAAGTAAGAAGAACCTCAAAAAACAGCAGCACTAGCAGCCCGAGTTATATTAAACTCAACATTTTAGGAAACCACACTTGAATACGAGTGGTTATCTTGTAGACACCAACAACCCAGAGCAGTGGTTTTCCTACATCATCTTTAGGAAGCCATGACTCGATGAGTTATGACCTGGACATCCACTCTCAAATCATCGAGCCCAAGAGACTGAGGAGGTTCAGCAGAATCTACTGCCTACGTAAAATCATCCACACTTGGGGAGCTACTCAGGTAAGGAATGTTTTAACAGCAAATGTATTTCTAAGAGAGATGAAAAAGGGGTTTAAATTTCCAGGTCTTTTGATCACAGGAGGTGTGCATAACTGAGCAGCTGAATGCCGGAGCTCGCTACTTTGACCTTAGGATTGCCCGCAAGCCAAACGACACAAATCCCACCAGGCTCTTCTTTTACCACGGCCTGTACACCCGAACCGATGTTGAGGTAAACACTCAATCTCTGAAGGGTATTGAGTGGACCAAAGTCATTCGTGTTTCTTGGGGGGTTGTTCACTCATTGTGTTAAATATAATAAAGAAGCTTTGATTGAATGTGGCTGTGTATTCCCTTTCCCATACACCCCTAATTTCAGACTGTACTCAGGGAAATAAACACGTGGGCAGAGAGTCATCCTAAAGAAATCATCATCTTGTCTTTATCCCACTTTGAGGGGTTTGACAAAAATATCTCCAAACAACTTCACGACCACCTCATCACCTTCCTGAAAAACCTGTTTGGAAGCAAACTCCTCCCAAAGACGGTAATGTTTCTGCTGACCATCATTTTGGGCATAAATCTCTCAAAAGTATTCCTTCTTAAGGGACAACGATAATGTGTCACCACAGCACTCTCCCACCCTGATGAGCTGCTGGAATGAAGGCAAAAACATCATAGTCTCGTACGACCACATACAACTTCAACCTGTGTTATGGAGAAAAATAATTTATTACTATGGCAACAGCATGGACCGTGCGGTAATTACAGCCAAGCTCTGTCAGGCTTTGGAGAAGGAGAAATCCTTCACGTGTGAGTGTCTCTACAACCATTTGTTGGCTTCGTTCCCTTTTTAGAGACTACGACCTGGGTCTCCACCGTGCCTCTGAACACATCTGTGTCCCTTCCTTGTCCAGATTTCTTTGTCTGTGGCTTGAATCCGACCCTACCTCACAACTCCGGAATCCTCTGGTACATCCTCCGCATTTGCGACAACTTCACCAACGTCGTGCGAAGGGGCCTGCCAAAGCTGCTACGGTGGGTGAAGCAGCAACACGACAAGACGCCAATGAACATCGTCGCCTCAGACGTGGTGACCCGAGATGATTTTGTCGCAACGATTGTGAAGCTCAACTTGAAACGGGCGACAGGACAATAAAAACCTCTTTAGTTTATTTGTTGTTGTTTTCTTTTTTGTGAGATTAATTTTTGCATTTACTTCTCGACGCTTTACGTTTTGTCGACGCATCGTTTGTTTTTATCCTGGAGCCAAATAAATGCAGCAATCTTTTGCATGAATTGGCATCAGATGGCAACATTTAAATGTAACAGATTTAATGCACAATTGTCATGTGATTTCCATAATTAACTTTTTTTTAAGAGTTAAAAGTTCTGATCAAATTAAAGACATTTACTTTGAGCACAAAGGCTTTACGTGGGATTTGTTGTTTCTACAGCCTGAATGTGACAACGCCAGAAAACAGGAAGGAAATAGAGGAAGAGAAAAAGAGGAAAAGAAGGAGAAAAGGAAAGAACACAGTGAGGTGTGACTTGTAGAAGAAAGGAGAGAAAGTGAGGCGGTGAGCAAAAAAGGAAAGGCGTAAAGAAAAGCGACACGGAGTGAAAGAAAAACTTAACTGATACGAGAAAGGAATAGAAGTAGGACATGAGGAACAAAAGAGGAAATGTTCAGAGAAGGGAGTTTGAAAACAGGACTGTCAGAAGGGAGGGAAGGAATGGAACAAGGTGGGGAAATTGGTTTGTAAGAAAAGCATAGATGGAAGGAAAGCAGGAAGAAACAAGGGAGGAAAAAGAAGGAATGGAAAAAAACAGAAGTTAGTTAACGTGAGCTGAAATATTTCTCAAAACTTCTAATCTTCTTGAGTATTTTTTGCCAGACTTTGAGAACTCTGCAGCCAAGTTCAGTGCTTCGTTTTTACTTTTTTGGCCTCGAGCGCCATCTTGCGTCGAACGAGAAGAACTGCAGCAATAGAGCGCATGGAAGTGGAGCCTGCTGTATGTCAATAAAGCGGCTAACGCTAGTGCGCTACAGTCATGCACTTAGTGGATTAGGATGTGGAGGCAGGCATGGCGCTGGTCGGCGTTTAGAGACACTCGCGCGGGGACCGCTCGCTTCGTGGCCGCTGCCAGTCCGCGGCGGAGCTCAGCTGGTCCCACGAGGAGTTTCGAAAACATTCCCCATCCACTGAGAGGCAGGTCCCAGCTGCTCCTCCGGCCACAGTCGGTGTCGGCCAGCTACCTCAGGTAATAAGGCTAGAGCAGAATAGTTAAATGACGCTCCTGTCAACTGACAACGAGAGGAAAGGAGCGCTCGATATTTTCCAGTGCGTCATTGTCGTTTGGCTGCTGGTGGAATTAGAACAGTGGAGAGTTAAGCGCCACTCGAAAGTCCATGTCGGAAAACTGGTATTTAACGTGACAAAACGTTAACCTTTGTCAAGAGGAGTGCACTGCTGAACACAGACGATGAATTCAAGTTAAAAGACCCTCTCCTTAAATTCGGCACAGATAAAAATGTTCCAGCACTTACCTTCATAGCTGTAACATAGCACGCGTTAGCTTTTGTTACTGGTTACCATGAGAACGTCTGGACGTGTCTTCGCCGACACTGACAATTAGCCATACCGGTGTCAAAAATTCATATATTCATTGCTTTTGTAATGTAAAGATTTCGGCCGACAGCAGGGAAAAGACTCAGTCTGTCGTAAGGCGTACGCTCATACTTACACAAGGACGAATCTGCACCTGTGGGACTAGTTGCATTAAAATGTAAAAGAATTAAATGGAGTTCGCTTACCTAGTACTGCGCAAATGTAAAATAGGTTTTGTCTTGCACCCATTTGGCTCATATCGACACCTTTAGCCGTTAGCATACTGTGACTATAATAGCTTTATTATGCTAGCATTCTGCAGAAGCACGGTGGTGGTAGTGCAGTGGTGTGGAGCTTCCGTTTCAGGGACTGGACGAATTGCTTTAATTGGGGAAACCATGAATTTCACATGCTAACAGAGAATAATGAAGGACCATGTCCAGACATGAGATTTTTTTTTTTTTATCTTAAGCTCAGGCGCATAGGCGTTACAAACACTTGAAGGCATTTGTTGCTGCCAACATGGCTGTATAAATATTATTACTCCTCCCTATAATTGCTCTTGTAGCTATTTTCATATAGCTTCTAGATATGTAGCTATATCTTGTAGCTACAACTCTTGGTTGCAACCAAAATGTTTTGGTTGCAAATTTTATGCAAAGTTGCATAAAATTTTGCAACCAAAGTTTATGATCTTTCGTTGCAAAGATAATACAATTTGCAACCAAAGTTTATGATCTTTGGTTGCAAAGGTAATAAAATTTGCAACCAAAGTTTAAGATCCTGGTATGTTTCTCAAATAGAAATTTGACGTTCGGCCTTCCTGATTGGTGCACCTGCCTAGAGATAGCAAATTTCTTAACCTTGTAACCTATACTGTGTAAATTTATCACAGTTTAACGCCAGACAGCTGCATGTTTTTTTTCTAATAAAAAATAAATTAAGAAATTTTATTCAGTAAAAAAAAAAAAAACGTTATTTATCCTGAAGGGAAATTGAATGCTGACATAACTCATATCATCCAAATATCTTCAAAGAGTCATTGCTTCTTGTGATGCTGTGGGCAAGGAGAGGTCTGGCAATAGAAACAAATAGTGTGTAAAAAAGGGCTTAAGTGAAAATCTGCAAAATATGCCAATTTTTTTTATGCGATGAATTGATTAATCATCAAAAATAGTCTATAGAATAGTCAATTGATAAATGAGTCATTAGCTGCAGCCCTGGTCGAGTTGGAACACTAGTTAACAGTGTGTCCGTTTTACATTTTCCACTTATACATGTCAAAGTGATACACAGTAGTACCAAGTTTGTATATTGAAATAAAGATAAAGCTACTGGTTGTTGTAGTGGCTGTATTTTTGCTGTGTGCACAGTCCGTCTGTGTTCCTGAGCATGGCATCAGGGAGTAGCCATCCACCGTCCACGCATCCCAAACACACAAACAGGTTGGCCAATGAGCGGTCGCCATACCTGCTGCAACATGCACACAACCCCGTCGACTGGTGAGGCCCTTCAAACCTGACATTTATTCATTTTAAGAAATTGGAATGTTGAAATGTGATTTTTTTTGTTTGTTTGTTTGTTTTGTCTGATTTTGCAGGTATCCATGGGGACATGAGGCATTTGAAAAGGCAAGAAGAGAAGACAAACCCATCTTCTTATCAGGTAAGATGTTCAATTCAACAATATTATTATTATTATTATTATTATTACTTAATCCCAAGTGATTGTATTTTATTGTGTTTCATTCAGTTCAAAACGGAGAATCTAAAAAAAATAAAAAATATCAGTGTGGATTTTTCATGAAATATAAAGAAATGCTTTAATTCAATTTCATCTACATAGAGCCAATTCATAACAAAATTCAACTGATTTCAACTTAATCATACATACATGTATTCCAGTTCTAACCAGTTATCAAACTGAACAGTAAGCTCGATTAATTATTCAAAGTAGCTACCAGGCTCTGATTTTGTAAGACTATGACAGTAAAACCTTCACACCACTTATCAAAAGATTTACACTGAAGTGACAAAATGCCTGTTCTCAGCACTCTGCATTTGCTCTCTATGATCGTCTCCAACCACCAGTGGGCTATTCGACGTGCCACTGGTGTCACGTTATGGAGAGGGAGTCCTTCAAAGATGAGGAGATTGGAAAAATCCTCAGTGACAACTTTGTCTGCATCAAACTGGACAGAGAAGAGAGACCTGACGTGGACAAGGTCTACATGACCTTTGTGCAGGTTTGTGTATTTGTTGTTAGACTTTTTTTCTCAACACAGGCTGTTTTTTGCATTTGGTTGTTTTTATTTGTTTATTTTCATGTCAGGCAACAAGTGGTGGTGGAGGCTGGCCCATGAGTGTGTGGCTAACTCCCGACCTTCGACCTTTTATCGGAGGTACTTACTTCCCCCCGAGGGACCAAGGAAGAAGACCGGGCTTCAAGACAGTTCTGATGAGAATCATTGAACAGGTGGCAGCACTTTGTAGAAACACTCGATAATTAAACTAAAAATGTTAAGAAGTGACTTAAATATTAGGCGTGCACCAATAGGTTGGCCCACTTTTCTGAATTTTGGGAGAACGGCCCTCACTTATATGACAAACAGGTCTTATATGCCTCTGCAAATGTCTGAAAATCTGCCGCTGTCCCCTTTTACTCTGCTGTGAGCCGGCAGATCAGCCCACAACAGCTCCACTAGTGTATCAGGATTAAATGCCAAAAAACACAAACATTTCCCACACAAAGAACAGAACATCTATCTGTCAGATTGTTTGTGTGGAGTCCCTTTAACTGAACTAAAACATGTGAAATTCTGCAGCATATCTACATGTGAAGGTTGACAAAACCAAGCTAGCATAACTGGCATACTTCCCTCACCATCGCTATATATATTTTTTTAAATTAGAACTTTTTTCTGACGTGTGAATTGTTATTGTGTCTTGATATTCCTTATCTAGATGTCATAGTGTTGGCAATTAGTAGCTTAGCACTGCACCCCTTTTCCTTTGATGCATCACGCTTACATTTAAGATTTATGTTATGTTGACAATTTGACAGCTAAAACCAACTGCAGTCATTGTTACAGAGCTCCAGCAGGGAGCTGGGGGCAAGATCTTGCATGCGTGACGTCACGTTGCAATGTGTTCATTAAGAGGCTCTGAAAAGTGGCTTCTTCTCTGCAGTGGCAGAACAACCGAGCGACTTTAGAGTCCAGTGGTGAGAGGATAATCGACGCTCTAAAGAAAGGCACAACCATCACTGCCAACCCAGGAGAAAGCCCTCCCTTGGCCCCAGACGTTGCTAATCGCTGCTTCCAGCAGCTGGCCCACTCCTATGAGGAAGAGTACGGAGGCTTTAGAGATGCTCCAAAGTTCCCCTCACCAGGTAGACTCACCCGGAGCCAGAGTGCTCATCTGCAGCTCTCTAGTTTCCATTTGTTGTGATGGGTTAGCTGAAATGGCTACAGAAAATGGTAGCTCTTCCAATCCTCGGTTCTGTTTGCACCATAGTTCAGACATGCTTCCCAGATGTATAGCAGCTGGATGAGAAGTCATGTGAGCTGGTCTTTCTGTCCCTCTGCAGTGAATATGATGTTCCTCATGTCTTATTGGTCCGTGAATTGCTCCACCTCAGAGGGGGTCGAGGCACTCCAGATGGCCTTGCACACACTCCGAATGATGGCACTGGGAGGCATCCACGACCACATTGCACAGGTTGGTATCCAAGCTGGGAACGTAGGAAATTATAAAAGTTTGCAAATTTACCTTACAAATATTGTGCCTTGTAAAAAAATCAGTTGCTGTAAAACCAAGCTAACTGGTTATAACAGTATCAGACAGTAGGCTCGATGTAAGAAAGAGCAAATTAACTTTCTGACTTTGTGATAAAATGGTACAAATGTGTTTACGCTGTTATGTAATGAATGTGATATTTTTGCTGTGAGCAGAATTCAGTTTATTTTTCAACCACAGATTCATAGGAAATGCCACCTCAAGGCATTGAACTTTACAAACTGATCCAGTTCCTATCCAATTGGATATGAAACCATTTTGGGTCAAGTTTAACCTCTAACAAATTCAAGTCATTTCAATACAACCTAATCATTTAGTTCAATTGGAGCCTGATTACCATCCATCCAATCAGAAAACCATACAATTAATGTCAGTTGATTAGATTATTTATGCCAAACTGCTGAAAAAAAATGGTTAACTACCTTTGGAAACTCAACTATCTGCATGTCTTTCCTTACTTGGATATGTTTTATGTACGTCTAGTAAATATGTGGAAAAGGCCTTAAAATAGACATTTTTTAAATTGCTGCCACATTGTCTTGTGTCAAAAAGATTTAGAAGAAAATCCAACCTTTATTTGAGTGCTGTGCACAGCCCCAATTTACTACATTGTCTTGTAATCCCAGTCTGACCAGGCCACACAGTTACAGTTAAAGTCTCAGTTGTATTCAGCAAACTCCATGTTTCCAACTTTGACAGTAGCACATTTAGGGAGACCTGACTTCTAAAGGGGTCAGTGACCCTAAAATGCCATTCTGTGCTGCGGTTCTCCAAGCAAGAGTTTACTGTAGATGTTTTTTTTTTGTTTTTAACTTTCCTTCCCCTTCTCCTCAGTGTACTTTGTGGTGAGATAAATATTAGTTGTTAGAAGCAAAGTGAAGCAGTTAGAGCTTCATTTCCTCAGTCATACAGCATTGGTGTTTGCTGTACGTCTTTTCTAACAGTTTTACGGGAAACGACTTCATTCTGCGGCTGTTTTTCCAGGGTTTTCATCGTTACTCCACGGACTCTTCGTGGCACGTCCCTCACTTTGAGAAGATGCTGTACGACCAGGCTCAGCTGGCTGTGGCTTACATAACCGCTTTTCAGGTTTGGGTTTCTCTTCAGAATCAGCTTTATTGGCCAAGTTTGTGCTTACAAACAAGGATTTTGACTTCAGTTTCACATGCTCACACTTCATAGACATTAAATGTGAACTTCATTAGAGGAGATAAAAGCAAAGTAAATGTATATGTACTTACACTCATTATGTGCAACATATATAATAGAAGAGTGTCAATGTGTGTATTTCTGTTTCACAGTAAAGTAGCTGACTACTCTTTCTGTAAGGTGTCAATTGTGTTCATCAGAGATGCAACACAGGAGATAAAACTTTCTTGATTTTGCAAATGATGCTCTGTAGTGTTGACCTGAATGTAAAAACCCAGACAGTTTGTGTCCAGGATGGCAGTGTTGTAGACTGTACCTTAAATCACACTGTACCGAGGTACATTTTTGTTGTGGTAGGAAGTACAGTCTCTGCTATACCCAACTGTGTCTCTGTGTGATAATCATCACAGATCTAGAGAATTGGTAGATCCTAAAAATTGTCAGTGAACTACGGCAGACAGAATGTTGAGGACGGTAAAGAAGTTATTCACTGGCACTTTACTGAGCCAGTCAAAAACCCTGAGTGTGAGACTTGAGTGAGCCTTCACCATTTCACAGTTGATGGGGTTTTGTTGTGTTTTGTTTAAGATTTGATAAAAACTAGTGAGTCTCAGTTTGTGGCATCTTCCTCAGAGTCTGCTGCACCGACCTGTTTAGTTTTTGGTGTGTAGACTCAAACTAAATAACAAAGAGCAACAGGCACAAGTTGAAATACAGCCTCATATACTCGCTGTGTGTAATGATGATGTACAAGTAGGCTGAGCGCTCTTGTAAGGTTCTGCAGGGAACATCCTGTTGACAAATCACAAGACGACACCGCGAGGGGTCGAGCTCTGGTTGAATCATAGCCCTCATGCAGGTGTTTTCCATTCTTCTCCAGGTATCAGGTGAGCAGTTCTACGCAGACGTGGCTAAGGACATCCTGCTGTACGTCTCCAGGGACCTGAGTGACAAGGTGAATCATCGACAGCTTGGCTGCTGCTGTCTTCTGTGTGAAAACTGTCTTAGTTGCTCTTGAGTACTGCTAGTATGTTCGTACGTCCCTTGGGGCTCTGAGTGGAACATTGCTGACAAATCCTGTTAAAGCTCTCCTGTACAGGTCAGCCTTTCTCCTCTTTGATTAATGAGGGGACAGGAGTGAACAGAGCATACAATTAAAACCATACTGTGACTGTTGAATTTTCTGAGATTTATGAAGTAATTATAATCTAATGAAGTACTGTGCCCAGGATCATTTTCTGTAGAGAGTCTCTGTGTCAACAGAAATAACTTATATCAACATATTTATGTCTTAAAAATCCTGTAATTGTCTTTATAGCGTCGTTATTTATTTATGTTGCCGGCAACATTTATTGTCCCCTCTGGTAAAAATTTATGAGAATTGTTAAATCTTAAAATGTAAGTTCTTTTTTCCAATGTCTGACTGAATTTTTAAAATATCTCATCTTTAATTTTCTAACATTTATTCAGTGGGGAAAAACGTCTGCCAGCAAATAATTATTTTGATCAAAATCCCTGGTTGCAGTATTAGTGGTACTCTTTCAGTCAGTACTTTGAAGTATTTAATTGTCATGTATTGATTTAGTTTAATGATTTGGACCATTATTTTGATGAAAGAACCAACTTTCACTTTAATAACTTTCACTTTAATAACCACTGTTTATTGTGCCAATGGTAGAATAAACTAAGTAGCTTAGCAGATGTTTTTTGAAACGTTTTTCCAGGTATTTTGTCTCAACTGTTTTTTATGTGAAAATTTTTGTCCCCAGAAAATTTCTGCCACGGTTGACTCCTCAAACATTTTTAATGGATTCATTTATTTTAGATCCTTTTTAGCACATCTTTACCCATTGTGTTAATAAATTAGCACTGTTTGCATTGTTTTCTAGTCTGGAGGCTTCTACAGTGCAGAAGACGCTGACTCCATCCCAGCATCAGGGGGGCTGGAGAAGCGAGAGGGGGCCTTCTGTGTGTGGACAGCCTCAGAAGTGCGGGAAATCCTGCCTGATGTGGTAGAGGGCGCGGTCGGAGCCGCCACGCTCGCAGACATCTTTATGCACCACTACGGAGTCAAGGAGCAAGGCAACGTTGCAGCTGAGCAGGTCTGGTTGTATTGTTTTAACATTACGGCCATATCTGCTTTTGATGGTTTCCGCTCGTCGACATGACGACCGCCACAGGCGTTCAGGGTCGGTGTTGGTGAAGACGTTATGCTCTCTATTGCCAGGATCCACACGGGGAGCTGCAGGGGAAAAATGTGCTGATAGTCCGTTATTCAGCGGAGCTAACAGCTGCTCACTTTGGCATCACGGTTGAGAAATTCAACGAACTCATGACCTCAGCCAGAGGCAGAATGGCAGCAGTGAGGCAGATTCGCCCGCGACCCCACCTGGACACCAAGATGCTGGCTTCCTGGAATGGTAAAGTCCAAGTCTGACAAGGCAGCGAAAAGTAAAAGCAGCAGATCTCAGATTTCAATACCTTATTTATTTATTTTTACTGCTTGTCATATCACAACCAAAACATTTAATGTATTTTATTAGGATTTTATGTTATCAGCACAAAGCGGTGCCAAAGTGTGAAGTGGAAGCAATCTTTTCTTCATTCAGTGAAGGATCAATAGTGGAAAGTCTTGTACGGTTTCCAGTTTGGATCATAACCCGCATCAGATGACAATCTAGAGACATACACTGAGGTTTGCAGGTGTGACGAGATAAACCATGAAAGTCTTTCAAGGTGGAGAAAAAGCGTTTCAATTAATAAAACTTTTGTTTTTCCACATTAACGTGGCACTAATTTTAACGCTCCTTGCCATTGTTTTGCCCATTATCTATAAAAACGCAGTTCATTACTAAGCACACGCATAAACAGTCATGCTCACCCACAAGTTGGGTTCCTTCACCGGATGTCTCCTGACGGTATGTTAGAAAGGTAATGAGGCCCTGCCATCCCGAGAACTTTCCAATTAGTCCCGAGCCTCTTCTTCTCCTCTCTAATGAACAAACTCCTCCATTAATCACCTGTCCTCCGCTGCCGCCGCACTTTGAAGACCGGGCTGTGCACCATTGGCTTTGATACTCTACATGAAAGAGGTGTGGAGGGATGGACAGAGGAAGGAAGGGAAGGATGAAGTGAAGGATGAGAGAACGTGGGGAAACTTCAAAGAGAGCAATAAGGGTTTGGGGGGCAGAAATAACTGCGCTGGGAATTTTGGCGCGGGCTACACATTGGCACCTTGGCAAGGGAACGTGATGTTTTAACATGAGATGAAGTTATTTTGGAGCTAATCACCACCACAAGCATCATTATTACCACTTCCTCCCTTGCAGGCTTGATGCTGTCTGGCTTTGCTCGGGTTGGAGCCGTGCTGGGGAACGAGGTGCTGCTGGAGAGAGCGGTGCAAGCGGGAAACTTCCTGAAGGAGCACCTGTGGGAACCCGATCAGCAGAACATGCTCCGATCTTGTTACCGCGGAGACCAGATGGAGGTGCAACAGATGTAAGACACAGTACTTTGTGAAGTAGTCATACCGCTTAAACATTTTCCACATATTTTATCAGGAAGTTCCTTCAGGATTTCATAATTATTGTTTTTTTTTTTTTTTGCAATCAAAATGACTGATTTTTTGGTGCTACTTGAGAAATATTTTTCAAACTAATTTTCTTGTTTCTTTCCTCAATAAACCCCTGCGTATTTTAACATGATTGGCCTTGTTTTAATTTCATCTTCAAAGGCCTATTGAATAACTGATGATGCAGACTAAATATCTCACGGCTGAGACAAGAGATTTTCTTTTTGCTCTTAATTCCAACTAACTAAATTACTATCATTCAGTAAGTGCATTACAATGTTAATATTTTTAGTCTCAGAACACACCCTTAAAGTCAAATATTGACTCTCTTGTTGATCCAACACAACAACTTCAGTTGTTGGCCTTGTTCCGTTGGCGAGCCGCTGTGTCCCAGTTACAGTGAATGAGAGAGTGTGAAATGCTATCGAATCAGCAGAAAAATGTGCCAAGAGTCCCACAACCTGCTCGATGGAACATAATCAATTCGAAACACATACGTGAACAAATACACACTTTGTGCCTAACCGCCCCGACCTTGTTCCACAGCGTCCGTCTCATTCATTACCGTCCTGTTCAGAATGGTGTCGTCTTCGAAAGTGCTTACAGAGGCTCATTTCTCAGACCTGGTTCAGCTTCCATACATACCAGGGCAGGTACGGACCATGAGCCCATTTACCAGGAGGAATGGTAGGAGCTGAGACTAACTGGGTTAATAGGATGTAGAGTTGATGCTGTGGATTTTCTGGGGCTCCTTCCTGCCAACCGAAAATGAAATGCATTTACATCTTTGAGGAGCAGAAGGAAGGTGGAGAGTAGTTTTACTTTGGGAATGAGCTGTTTTGTTACCAGTAATGTTATATGAAGCTGGTTTGCTAAATATAAATTAGTTCCCAATTTGTCTGGAAATTGCCTTCCTTCGCAATTCGATTTCTCCCATCCAGGTGAATTTCTTCAGTAGAATTTCAATAGTGCAAATCAGCAAACAGAAGGAAAAGTTGTGAACGATGAATTTCCTTGCTAATTTAAAGATTCCTGCCTATGAGTTTAGAAGCAACAGCAGAAGAAGTCAACAAAGTCGTTCAGCTCATGTTGGCCACATTTCTAAATTTTGAGCAATTAAAATTGAACCAAGAGGAAGTGAGGAAGAGAGGGGGCGCTGTTTGTCTAGCCAGACTGTGAGTTCCATAAACCACACTAAAAAACTTTTGTAAACGGACATATATTGTCAGTTCAACCGTGCCGTCCAAAGGACCCTGGCTCTTAAAACATTTTATTGCTAGCAAAATAGCAATGCCACTGTGAAGCATTTCTTCCTTCCCAGTGGGGTATAGTTGTTTACAACACGCAAATTCTGGTAAGCTTCATAGCGTAGCTTCCTGGCGTATTACTTCCATCATGACTAAACATAAGCGGCTGGGTAAAATCAGATCCAATCGTTTAAACTTTAACAGCATCTCACTTGGTGCACAGAGCTGCCACCTTGTGGTTGTAGCATTGCAGCATGTATTAACATCATCTTGTGAACAACTTCTAGTGTTGCTTGTAGCTGCATGGTTTTTTCGAAAGCACTAAAGCCAATTCAAACAAATTTGTTTCAAGTATTTTAATTTATATTTTGTAACAACTGCTGTGAATATCAGCCCCCCCTCCTGAACATTTGCAACCTTGTGATACCCCTCCTGATTCTTGCTGACTCCTTTTATCTGAACCGATGCCGCAACCGATTTCTTGTCTCACTGCAGCGTGACTTCATAGCTCTTTATGACCTCTCAGAAGAATGCACTTCATCTCCTCCAAATCACTTTTAGGTTTTCACCCTCGCCACCATCAGCCTCGCCTGACGCAGCACTATCTGGCCTCCTGTCACAGTCCGTCCTCGTGCACTCACTCATGGGGGTGGGGGAGGATGGCATTGTGAGTACTGGAGGGAAGGGGGGACAGTGGAATAACAACAGTTTATAAAAAGTGGTGACTCAGTATTCTCAGGGGGGACGAAAGTGCTTCAGAATCAGTATGAGCTGTACATAGTTGTTTTCAACATGGAGAAGAAGGGATTGATGACTCTAAAGAATTTGAAACAGAGATGTACCCTTTGCTCTGTAGATGTCTTTCTTGACTAAATGGAATTTCTGATTTGTAAAGCTCAGATTTACTATTCATCAAAGCACGAAGATTAATGGAAAAGTTCTGTTAACTCAGTAGATTTGTACAAGGAACTACCAAGACTTAAACCTGCCACAAGTTAGAGAAAAAACACCATCACTGTTCACTGTGAAGCCCAGCTTTCCATTGGCCAAGAAATTAACTCCCACTCTATAAACAATAAGGGCCCCACTGTTACCATCTTGGCGACTACGTCACAGTGTCAGTCATAAATAAAGTCTGTGCTATTTCATAAAAAAAAATCATTTCTGCACTCATTTATAGGATATTTATTGCATGTGATTGCTTATTTATTTATTTGTTTGTATCTAGTCATTTTGAAATGATCACTCTTAGGTAGATATATTCTTATTCAAAAAGTTGCATAATCACTACCTCCTTGACAAATTTTAATGGTATTCATGTCCTTGATGAGTGCGTACAACATTTGATTTAGAGGTGTACTTACTATTTCCAGATCTGTCTTTTTATATATTGTAAATCATATCTATGTCAAACATATAAAAGTTTATCTTTTTCTCTGCCCTACCTGAGAATGTGTTTGTGGGTTGTTGTTTTTTTCCTGGATTTCTATTCTGGTTTGCACAGACAGTTACTGAATATAATATGAAGTGTAAAAAAAAAAAAAAAAATCCTGAACTACTTTGCCAGTGGAGCTCTTCACTGTGCTTTTCCACATTGCTCCAACGATTAATACTTAATGATTAATGCCCTCATTTCATCTTTTCCCTCTGTGCGTCGCCCAGATCCCCGCCTATCTGCGGCTTCCTGGACGACTACGCCTTCGTCGTTTGCGGCCTGCTGGACCTGTACGAGGCCACGTTCCAGACGGAGTGGCTGCGGTGGGCCGAGGAGCTGCAGGCCAGGCAGGACGCGCTGTTCTGGGACAACCAGGGCGGAGGTTACTTCTGCAGCGAGCCCAGCGACGCCGCGGTTCTCCTGCGACTGAAGGAGGGTGCGTGATAGCCTCGCTCATTGTTTGCGTTAACGAGCAACTGAACAAGTCCGCCTTAATAAAAGTGGCTGACGTTCAGAGAAAACCAAAACATCAAACTTACTGTTTTAGTGAAGATTTCCAAATATATCTTCAACACAAAAAGAGATGCTAATTTTTATTTATGTATTTTTTTTTACGAAGAGCTAAGATGTTTGATTTACACTATCTGACCAGTAGAAGAGGTGAGATATGGACAAAATGTTATCACAATATTTTGTGGTATAGAAGTTATGATAAATAAAACTATTATTTTTTAGCGAACCATATGGGTCTAACTGCATATCACAGGATTTGTGACACCGCAAACACAAATATTGCTCCAGAAAAACATTCCGAATTTAAAAAGGCCTCTTCAGCATGCAGTTACTTTAAGAAAAACTATAATTAATGTCACTAAACTGCATTTAACCATATTTTAAAATTTTCTGACATTTATTCAATTTTCTCGAACAAACAGTGGAGAAAATCTAGCTAGCTTTTTCTTGTCTATCAAGAGAATTTATCAGCTGTCTATCTCTCAGTCGTGTTAGCCACTGGTTCACTTCTGTTGCAACCCTTTTGTACACTTCCTTCATCCTGTAGGTCTTGAATTTTATCTATTACGGTCTTAAAAAAGCTTAAAGTTGAGTTGGTGAAACTCGCATGAACCCTGCAGCAATGCTTGGTGCAGATCTGTGTTGACGATAAGTCAGCATCGTTGATGGTGTAGGGGCTTGTCTTTCACCTCGATGTGTTTTCAACGTTTCATGAGGGGTTCTTGAAACTCTGTCTGCATCAGTTTTCTGTAGGGGTTTGTAGCTTCAGGGGTGAAATAAAGAAAGGATTGATGGACAGGTAGATGATTAGAACTCCTGCTGCAGTGGACCTTTGTGCTTTCGCCTAGTCTGAGGGATGGAGGGCGGCGAAAACTGAATAAATTCAAGGTTTGAACTGCAGATGGCTGCGCATCACAACGGTTTGGCTAAAACAGCCCTGATAAAAAGCAGAGGTATGAACAGATGTCTATCATTGGAACAACAGACAACGTTGACGGATTGTTTTTGTCAGAAACTCACTAATTTATTCGTCCATCATGAATCTGTTACTTACCCGCTGTTACCCTACGCCATATTGATCGTTTCAAGCTCAGAGGATCTGAAAGGCTTTACTGTAATATCCCTGCCACTTTGACTCATCTGCTACACTTCAGGAAAAGAGGAGCAGGAGATGGATGGACTGATAGGTGACTTGATGAAGGATAAAAGATGGGAGGATTATTGAACTCCTCCGTCCGCCATAAGAACACTAGCAACCATCAGTCACTCACGGCGAACCTCTTTGCCATAAAAGCTCCTACTACGTTGATGCTCAGCCTCTTGAGTTGCTTTGATCACCAGAGCTGTCAAACTCATCTACAGTCTGTCTTTCAGTCCATCTGCTTCTGACAGATTGGAACAGCGCCGCAAAGTACAGCAGGAGTCTGAAATCAACTTCCCCACTCCGCTCCTGTCGTCTCTCACTAACCTCCTTATTTTTTCCCTCTTAGTTTGTGACTCTTCATATAATTTTGCAGCCTTTCAAATAAGAATGTATCTTTTCAATGTTGCATGCTGGTAGGTGGAATCTCAGATATGAATATAAATTGCTGCAACCTTGACGTGCACTCGAGCCTGTCTTCAGCTGCTAGCAAGCTATTGTTTACCTTTGATCCGTCAGGTCCAGGCTTCTGGTTTGGATCTAGTCATCTTTTGCATTCAAAATGTCTCAAATTGATGACTTAATTTAGTTTTTTCTGTTGTTTTTAAGGTACACTTGATTTGGTGCTTCTATATTTATTGTCTTTCCAGGATCAAGTTACTAACAAAGATATTCTGTCATCTTCGAGTGCTTCTTTTGTTTTTGGGTTTTCAATCAGAAGTACTCCAGGCTTAGTTTTTTTAATCCAATGTGCTTTTTTTTTGGTTTGTTTTGTTTGTTGTTGTTCCTACTTTTTTTTTTTTTTTTCTGTCACACAGTGAGAGACAATACTCCCGGGCCAATACGTTTTGTTTTGCTTAGCTGTCTTTCTTTTTTCATTCAGTTATCATTAAGAAAAAATAGGGAGAAAAAGCTGATATTATTGACATTGTAGTTTCAATACAAGTGTACAACCAACATTTATACTTTTTCAACTGTTTTATGGAAAATAACCAAAAGGAGCAGTACACTCTGTAAAGACGTTGGATAATTAAAACGACTCTCTCTTGTTCCTGTACGAAGTCATTGATAAACATTTTGCTGCTGTTAACTTTGTGTGCTCCCCTTCCAGTCTGTTTGTACCCAGCTGTGCCTCTTTCTCGGATTAGGTCATTGCTGCCATTAATTTGTACTGCCTCCCGTCTCCCGTCTGCCTCCCGTCTCCTGGTAGGCAGTACATACATCACACATGAATGCATGTAAATATGTAAAAGTGTGCCCCGCTTGTACTTTATTGGAGCTGACACAAGAGTGGGTTCCCTTCTGAGGGGACTCATGGTGCCATTACGGCGTCTGCGCCGCGTCGGGTTGAAAGCCATTAGCAACACGGCGTCGGACGCCTTTCCCAGCAGCGTAGCCTGTCAGCTGTAGACAGATTACCTCCAAGGCGATGCCTCTGTACGTGTCTCACCCTTTGCAAGCCTCCCGTGTGTGTATGTGTGTGTGTGTGTTTGTGTCGGAAGAGGAAGGTTAAAATCATCCACACACTCTTGTCTTGCTTTTCTTTGAATTTATTTTCAGTTAGCTGAGTTTCCTGAGACTGCAAACTGTTTCTGTCTCCTGAGGCAGCGCTGCACTTTTCAGACGTACTCCCAGGTGAAAGAAATATATTATAGATGCATCAAGTTGGAGTACATCAGGTTAAAAAAAAAAAAGACTGTTTTATGACTTTAAAACTTGATGAACGTGTAGGCAGTGTTTTATTCAGTGACTGTATTCTTTGTCGATGCCAGCAGCAATTCCCTCCTCAACTCTCCCTCTCTTTCTCTGTGTGCGTTTGCGACCTCCTTTCAACGGTGCTCCTTAAGAGAAGGAAAACGTGATATGTGGAAAGCAACACACTCGCCTACCAAACCCTGTTGTGTGTGTACTTGAAGGTTTGTTGAAGTCTTCCCCACCACAGGGCTCACAAAGAGCTTGCAGCTGGGTGAAATCACACTCATTCTGCAAGTCTCTCATGTGTCAGTGCGCACGTGTCTCTTTGTGATTTTTAATTCATGCTTGTCACAAAAACGATGGAATTTGCGTTATACAGTTACGTTCATGTGGCTTCGGCTGAATAATTCTGTCGGGTCGCTGTTGCTATTGTTAGGTTGCGTCCAAGGTACGCAGTCGTGCGTAAAAATGGCTTTGTATTCTGAAGCACTCAGAAACGCAGGCATTATTTTGAGATGCAGATGTGCTGAGAGGTTAAAGGTCATTTGTAAATTGTCCTCAAGCTCTAACCAGACCTTGGTATGAGATAAGAACCAATCACTTCACAGACCACATCAAAACCCCTTATAGCTACTGGGTGAATATGTGTATTTTAGGGGCGGATCGAACACAAAACACACCTTTTTAAGCTCTTAATGATTATATGAAAACTTACATTTACACAAGTCCGTATTTTCCAGTGTTGGTGGAGAAAATGTTCCACGTTTAGACGCCACCGTCAAGATCCGCTGCAGTTGTCATGCCAGGGCACTTGATGGCACTATGGTTTTAGCATGTAGTTGAAATTTGCATGCGCCTTTTGACCACCATCTTCCACCTCATTGGTTTTTATTAATTGATGGTTAGTCGATCAATGGGATCGATCAACTTTAGATTAATCAACAAATTGTATCACTTTCATTGGGACTTTCTGTAGGTCAGTGATCCAAACAATATGTCAGATCAATACAGAAAGGGTTCAGTAGACATAAAAATCAATCTTCTTCCATGACCTAAATTCTATGGCAAACATGTAATGGGAGCAAATGAGACAACGGCCTAAGAGAGGAGCCAGGTCTCCTTGTTCCTGGTTTATATATCTACAATTTTTTCAATGAGGAATGGTCAGAGGTCGATACCTACTAAAGGCTTATGAAGTTATTGGACCTTCCTGTGTGTCACAGATCAGGATGGAGCAGAGCCCAGCGCCAACTCCATCTCAGCTTCCAATCTGCTGCGACTGTCCCACTACACCGGAAGACAAGAGTGGCTCCAGAAATCCCAGCAGCTGCTGGCAGCATTCTCCGACCGGCTGACCAGTATTCCCATAGCTCTGCCTGAGATGGTCCGGGCTCTCATGGCCCAGCACTACACACTTAAACAGGTACGCTGCTTCATTACGTTAAGATCAAGACTCTTATTGGGTCGCTTTTCCTAATCCTCCTGTACAAGATTGTTAATATTGACAGAGTAGTTATAGACCACTGTGCAGTACCCAACCCATCTGTTTCTCATCTGTCGGTCGTGAGGCCTGAAAGACAGCTTAGCTTGCGGGGGGAGCGGGTTTGTTTACCTGAATGTTCCCTGGAACTCATTTTCATGTCCGCCTACTGAAAGTAGTCAGTGTTTCTGCTCGCATGACAAATGGAGCAAGCATAATAGACACGGCTTTTACTGAGTAACAAAAACTGAACAAAACATTATGCAGCACGAGAGGAAGAAGCTGTTTAAACAATGAGCGTCTGCGTATTGATTGCTCTGGAACATTTCTGTTCGGGAACGCTGCAAAAAAGAAATGCATCACTAAGAAAAAGTTAAAAAAAAGAGAAAGTTCTGTAAGGAAAGGAGTGTGAATAAGCAGGAAGCTATTATTTTAGTAAATGATTGTGATTTATATCTTATTGTATGCATTTTTTAAAAATTCTGTTAAATGAACTTCCTCACCAAAGCAAGTTTGCTCTGCTATTTCTTTAAAATTTACCCGGTTTTGGTTTCAAATCTGCATCTTTTTGACATTTCAATCTCAAGATTGATCTTTCCATTTTAGGTTTTAGAGAAGGTAATCACAGCACAGGTGCGATCATGACTGATATGGGATTTTAGCAGCGTTTTAAACAGCTTCTGGTTCATTTAGAATGGCCATGACAAGCAGATTCAAACCAGGCATCAGAGCTTTCCCCTCATCCACCAGACATAACTCCTGGATGGTTCCTCGAAGGAAAACACAACTGAAAGAGCAATTGCTTTTCTTGCAAATACCACACTCAACAGATGTTTAGGAATTTCCCGTTCGCGTGATTTACAAAGCCGGAAAAGCGAACCGCATTTTTTCCACCTCATTTCAACTTCACCAGGTTGTCTGAGGACAAGCCCCCGCTTCGTCCCTGGACACAAGGATTTTTTCTTTTTCTTCTCATGTTATAACTGCCCCTGTTGTGCGCTTACTGGGTTATTTGAGCTGTTCAAATCGGGTTATATAATCGAGTGTTGAAATATTAACATCCTCAGTTTAGCCTGGAACCACTGAAACCGGGATGCTAGCAGGACGTCGTTGCTCAGTTGCTTGGTCACGCGGCGGGAAACGGTTTTGGAGTGAAAGGAACGGGAGAACACAGATGGCGATAACAAGGTCTGGCTCCAAGGTTGGGGCGCTTCCTGTCCATCATACATGACCTGCAGAGGATGTCTCAGGTTAATTGGGTGAAAGGTAACGAGCAAAGGATTCAGGCAGTTTCAGAGAAACCACCTGCCTCCCTTGTTAGTACTACAAATAAAGCTCCGACCTGCATCACCTCCTTTCCCTCTTCCTTCCTGTTATAAGCCAACTTTCAGCCGTCTTCTTCCACTCTAGTCATGCACTCCCCCATCTTATTATTTCATAGTTTTTTTCCTTGTGTCACATTTTTATTGTCTTCCTTCGTGTTTTTTTCCTCTCCCTCAGATTGTGATCTGCGGTCACAGGGAGGCTTCGGACACCGCAGGGCTTCTTGCAGCTGTCAATTCCCTCTTTTTACCGTTTAAGGTAAATACTCAGCTTTTGTCTACAACGTAGATACATTTCATTTGTGTGCGTCTTCCCTTTCCTAGTTAGCTTAGGCACACAGTATGATGGGTCTGTTTAAACACTCCACTGCATCCACTAGTAATTCAAAATGTCTTAGCTTAGCCATACAACTTCCCAAAAGTAGGATTCTCATTAATGAAAGAAAATGTATTTTGAGGTGGAAGTTATTTGTGGAAATGGGATGTACCATCACAGAGCTAAGAGATTGCCCATCTCCCCATGACTCCCACATAATCATAGACAAAGCAACACAACTTTGTTGTTTTGTAAATTATGAAACATTTACTAAAGTTTTCATAGTACAGAACAGTAGATCCCCAAATACTGGTGGGACCACAGCAACCCGCAAGCTGCTGATAGCCGCAAATACTTGAGACTCCCTCTAAATTCTTACATCTGCTTATTTTAATAGTGCAAACACTAATTGTGCCTTATTATATACAGTGGAAACTGTCTTAGCACCTCCACAGAAGGTAATGGCTTCAGTCTAAAATTTATCCAAGAATACACTCAATCAGGGTGAAGAAAAATAAATGTGAAATTGTGTTTTTTCAACATTCGCAAAATCTTGACGAAGATTTGCCACTAACTGAAATGGAAACGCAGCTAGTGTCTTCAATCAGACTGTTTCCGACTGCAGATCGCTCCTCACCACATCACCATCGTCCACGACGACTCTTTGAAGACACTTCGATGATGAGTTACGACAGTACCCAGTTTAACTTCAGGATAAATAATGTAACATTGAATTGAATATTGAATTGGGTCTACCATTTTCAAACTCAGAGCCAATGCTAAAGAAAATACTTGCTATCCAGTCCCCTTGTCAGTACTGTGGGTTCTCATCTCCCCGTATTGGGAGCAACCCCTACATCGCTCGGGGTGATTTAGTTTATTGAGCCGATAGTGGATTTTCGGTAGATGCTTATCATTTTTCAGACACATAAACACACAGAGGCTGAAACTGGCCTAGATCAGTGCCTGGGGTGCTGGCTGTTGTAAGTGGCGCCCTTTAAAGGTCAGCCTGATTCTCTCTCCATCCCTCTGCTCCCTGTAATGACTTCAAAAGTATCTCTTTTCAGGCATTAGTTGACCTAAAAGCCTTTTTCTTGTCTTGTCTAAGTTGTAACTGCAGCTTCAAGGTTTTGAAGGGGAAATTTTTGTTTGCTATTTTGAGTGCTGGTTCTTTTGCCAGTCTTGACACCCAACGATTTGCGAAGAACTCAATAACTCTCAACCATCCAACTGTTTATGTGATCCTGGACCATATTTCTCAGTGCTTTCACCTCTAACCATTACAAAAAAAAAAAATGTCTCACCACTTCATGATAAACTTTGATTTATTGGTTGGCAGATTTGATGGTGCTTCCAACGTCCTTGGATCCTGATGAAAATGTCTGGAACAAGTATAAGAAAATCCATTGAGGGTGAAAATGGCTTGCTGTGGGAAGTGGAAAAGCACATACTCGCGCCCAGCTTCATACCTCACTGAATTGTTCTAACTCCATCAGCCAGCACCCAAAAAACCTGGAACAATGAATTAAAGCAGGAGCTGTCCAGTAACACACTCCATCTCTTCCCCCTCCTTCCACACAAACCGCCAGGCAACAGAGCCCCATCTGAAATATAAATGAGATGTGCAGTATCAGCCAGTGGCAGCAGTAACATCAGGCTATTCCAGATAACTGCAGAGAGACAAGAGACGTAGACTGACATGGATAACAAGATGAATCTATTATTGAGCAGGATGCATGTTGAGGATTATCTCATTCAGTCAGGGCTAGATGCATGATGCACTACAGTTTATTATATTTTAGGTGACAATCCTCAGATGGCGCTCTAACCTAAGAACATCGAATCAGTGGCGAGCGCAGAGGTGGAGGAAATGCTTTGAATAGCTAAAGCATCTCCAAGTCAATTAATAGAAATTCGATTCAGCTGACTGCCACAAGAATAAATGTCGGCATTGTGATGCATTCCTTGACATAAAATGAGACTTAACTATAGAGGCCTGGTCAAACCACAAGCCACAGTAGAGGATACATAATTTGTATATGGGACAGCATCTGATTACATCAGCTGACGATGCTGCAGCTACACTTTCCTATAGCTACTCTATCCTATAGCTACACTTTCCTATAGCTACACTATCTTATAGCTACACTATCCTATTCATGACCGCAGTTTACGTGAGCAGTAAGGCAGACTAAATAGCAACCCTGTTCAGTCTGCTTTAATCAAACTTTAGTTTGATTTCTTAGTTTGATTGTTCTGCTGTTACCCCCATCGATCTACCCATTAAAGCTGACTCACATTTCTTTTCTTTGCTCAAGAAACACATTCCCACAGCAATATGCCACCACTACCACGTGTACAAGGGTGTTGCAACTGATAACAATTACATGATGCAAGACATTTTTTTTCAGAGCTTACTTCACGAAGTTTTCAAGTGAGGCCTGAAAAGCAACGACAGTGGACTGTCGATCAGTGATTTGCCAGGTAGTGGAGTCTCTGGTTTCGTCACGAGAGCAACTACCTTACAATAATGTCGACCCATCAAAAGTCACAAAAGCAACTGAATACGTATTTAAAGGCAATAGAAGACTGATCAAACTGATCTACTTTTCTGACTTTTGGAAGGGCCCAATTATATGATAACTCCACCCACTACAGCTGTTAATCAATTGCAATGAAAAACCGACCAAACTGTTTAGCGCCAGGGCAGTCCACCAGCAGCCCATTGTATTTTTATGTCAAAAAATGTGAAATGTTTAAATAATTTGGCGGTGCACAAGCTGTCATACACTGCGGGGGAAACCCTCAATAGGCGATCCTTAAAGAAGGCCTCGATTTTGTTTTGAAAGCTAAAAGGCTCAACAGGATTTCCTCCTCAACACCTGCTAAGTCCAGTGGTAGGGCCGTCCATTAGCGGCTCACCATGTTTTTGTGTTAAAAGTTACAAATCTAACATGCACTAGTAGGCATCATAGTTTGGACGGGAGGGGGGAAGGCTGGTGGCCCGCCAGGCTAAGACAATATTACTCTGGGGGAAACCCTGGGCTGAAGTTGCATGTCAACAACCTATCGGTCAATGTAATTTGTTCATTTGAAGCTCTGGTGTTATCCTTTGTAACTTCAATAGTTACAGAGGATAACCAGCATGCCTTTCTCTGTTAGTGGGCATCGCAAGACAATGGATGTATTGTTTTTTTCCACTTAAGTTTCTTGCAAACAATCAATGCGATTTTTATAGAAGATGACAACGGGACATGTTAGCAATTGTAGTTTATACTTAAGCAAACACACATGCTGGTAGATGTTTTCCTCAACACATTTATTTAGCTTTTGGCATGCAGACTTATTAAATACATATTGTGATTAATTCCTTTTTGTTTGGCAAAAAAATAAAATAAATGAGCACATACACTAAGACCAGCAGAACAAAATGTGTATCCTGTTATGTAATTCGTAAAATTAACTGCTGTAATAGGGGGATGAAGAGGGAAGCGAATAAAACAAAGTCTATGCTGGGGTCTAGGGAGGGAATTGCTAAAACGCCAAAGAATGGGATGAGAGATTTAGGGATGTTTAAATGAGATAAATGGAAGTTGCAGAAGAAAGAAGGCGTGAGGGGATTGTGCTCCACGTAACATTAGGTAGCTATGAACAGAGAACATGTCTAGTTTATATGTAATTACCTCTAGTCTGTTTCCCCTTATTTTAAGCAGGCACAAACTAATTATGTTGAATAGGGAGCTAAGAAATGAACTCATGCTGGTCTAAGCACACACACTGCAATCTTTACTTTATTTGATTAATCTACTATTTAATTTCACAAGCACTCCGAGTATCTACTGCACTTTTTTGCTTGTTTGAATCAATTACAGCACTCAGCCATGCTGAAACATTGAGCCTGATTGTAATTGCTGCATTAAATTGTGGTTAATTTTTCTATCAAGCAGAAATATATCTTGATTAGAGACAGGGCGAGGTTTGCTGAATGTGCTGATGGTGAAACTACAGGAGGGTGGGAGTTGGAAAACAATTTGAGATGCTTTCTTTCCATCAATTAGCCAGACCCGAGCACTTACCAATTTCTCCTATTTGGGAGCAATTGTGTGTGTGTGTGTGTGTGTGTGTGTGTGTGTGTGTGTGTGTGCGTGCGTGCGTGCGCGTGTGCGTGCGTGCGTGTGCGTGTGTGTGTGTGTGTGTGTGTGTGTGTGCACACGCGTCCCCTATCTATTCAACAAGGTAATGCATAACATTTAGCAAATTGCAAAAATATCAATGTCTCTTGAACCTTTCCACATTTTGTCACATTATAAGCAACAACTGCTGTTAGATTTTTACTATTTCAATGTGACAGACCAACAACAACAACAAAAAAACAGTGCGTAATAGTGAAATGAAAGGAAAATTATGTTTTTCCAAAATGTTTTTAATAACAAAAGTTACCATGGTGACATATTTTGTATTCAGCTCTGAATTAATTCTGTGTTAAAAGAACAATCCCAGCTGCCGGTCTTTTTGGGATACCAGCACATGTAAACGCTACTAAAGGCCCTTATTTTGCAAAATACAGCAATAGTAGCTCAGAGAGGAAGTGGAGGAGCGCAATACTTTCACCGATTATCTGTCTCATAATATACTGTCACGACATGGTGACAGTTTTAGCAAATGTAAAAAAAAAAAAAAAAAAAAAGAGAATTTATGCTTATGCAAGAAGGTTTATAGCTTTTTGTTGCCTTTCAGTTAAATTCTCCAGGACTCGTCACCGTACTGGTAGAAATACTACTGAGGTGATTCTGTAGTATTTCTTCTTTACAATTTTATTGCAAAGTGCTGGCTTTTTGACAGCCGTTGTGTCTTCTGATGACGAGGCTGGGATGGATTGCTTCGTGGCAAATGGTGACAGTGGTTTAAAACAGTTTTGGATTTTCTGGTGCCCTCCATCGTGT